TTACTCATTATTAAAATCATTCACAGAAATCGTGTACGATTATAAAATCGGTATTTGTTTATTAAACATAATTATAAATGAAGTTCCTACATGAAACGGAGAACTATCTTCGTGTGGTACTTTTAAGCTACACAAAAAAGCTAATGGTCTGTTAGTGTGAGTCAGTGACATACATGTAGGTGGTGTTGTTTTCTTGTCATGAAACTTGCTTTGATTATAGTCATTTCCTACCCTTACCATTTCGTACCTCATTGAATATTTATATGTATACGAATTGGTTCCTCGTGTAATATTTATATTTTTTAAATAATATGAGCAAATCAGTCCTAATTCGAATTAATCAGCATGTGTAATACTGTTGACGTCGCCCTGTTGACATAAAACATGAGAAAATAGTCCAATATGGGAAAAAGGCCAAAAAGCAATACAGGATTTTCATTTCCAGTGGCAGATTTTCTCTTCCAAATTATGTTGGATGTATCTTAACCTGGAAAAGATGTATCTAAAAGAAATTGGAAGACACATTTTTCTATTTTAAATGACAAGAAAATTTAATTATGATCCGTTTTTGTTACGATTTGAGGAAACATTCCACAAACTTTCTGAGTAGAATTTTCAATTTATTATCATTTCCGTCGACAAAAAAACATAATGTCTGAATATTCTTCCCAAGTACTTTATGTTTGCTAGATAAATAGAATTTGCATTAGCATAGATTAAGTACCTGGACTAGAAGTCAGAAATCTTGACAATATAATTGACAAAACAATTCGTCGTGAATGGGAAGAGGCAAGTTCAAATGTGATTTCCTGTACTTACATTGTATTTAACAGTTAGTTTCTTTTTTTTTACCTCGAAGAATTTGTATCATAAAATAAAAGTCTTATGAACTGGCTGTTTCTGTATTCGCCCTTTAATAGATTCATGATCATATGTTTTGGCCCTCATCTCTTCAAGTCTCCGGGCTAATACGCTAATATAACCTTGAACCTAAAACATGTATAAAGGGTCAAAACAGAAACAGGCAGTATTAAAATATTGAGAAATTTGGGGGTGTTGAAATATGCATGTCTTTTGGAAGGGGGGTCTTGAATTTATTTTCCTTCAAGGTGGGACTTGGAAAAAAGGAAAGGAAATTCCAATTTTTCCTTCCAGGTCCCCCCAATGAAATAAAATGATCAGTCTCTTAGATCATAAGTATATTAATCATTATTCATTAAACCTTGATCTATATGTCTCACATGCGTCCAAAGTCACAGAATGCAAGACATAGGGATTACAATGCAGCGGCAGCGACGGCATAAACTATTTGTATAAACATGATAAAGCTTTATATTTCATATGATATGCTTCATACCTTTTATGCAAATGCCTTGTGTTACCAAGTTTCCTGCCTGTCATATGTCTATTGCCATTTTCATGGTTGAGCAACTGCTTGAATATTTTCAGTCCCCTATTGACAAAGTTTAGGTTTGCACTGTCCATCTGTCTGTCCATCCATCAGTCCTGCAAATCAGTTATCCACATATTTTTTCTTCATGTTTGAAGATATTGATTTGATATTTAGTATATAGTTTTATCATGACCAGTTACAGAACAAATTTGAATTTTGTTCAGGGCTGATGATTTCATACAGAGTTATGGTCCTTGGACTTCGAAAATTCACGCAAGTAATCTGTTTTCCGCACTTTTTAGCTCACCTGACCCAAAGGGTCGTCATCATCCGTTGTCGCCATCTGTTAACTTTTACAAAAATCTTCTCCTCTGAAACTACTGGGCCAAATTTAACCAAACTTGGCCACAATCATCATTGAGGTATCTAGTTTAAAAAATGTGTCTGATGACCCCGCCTGCCAACCAAGATGGCTGACATGGCTAAAAATAGAACGAAGGGGTAAAATGCAAGTTTTGTCTATTATTTTGAAAACCGTTATAAATAGAGAAAATCTGACAAAGCAAAAATGTTAAGAATGTTGAGCTCTACCAGCTCTACGTCAAAACTGTCCGACGACTTCTTATATGAGTTATTGCCCTTAAATGATAAATTTTACCATTTTTTTCTTCATTTTTGCTTATTATCTTGAAAACTATGAGTCCAGAGACCCCGTATGTTCCGGGTTCTCGTTAAGACGCGTATACGCGTCCTGGACGCATGGAAATCGAGCTGGACGCGTCATTTTTGAAACCTGTGAGTCCCTGGGACGCGTCCTGATTGTATCCCCTGAGTCACAAACACATCGTTTTGCCTAGAAGATTTATAATCGACATTGTTTTGACAAGAAACTAAACCGAGGTCGATGTCGAAAAATCGATGAGTAGATCAATATTTTTGACAGCTGATTGATTTATAATTTACTTTTTCTGCATGGTTGAACAAGCCAATGAACGATCATGACCCATTCTTGTCAAATTGAAAAGTAAAAATTGTTTGCAAACTTTTTTTTTAAATACAAATGCTTGACTGTACCTTAAATGGAATGCATATAAATCCAAGCTAAATTATTAAAAGCAGTATAATCCAGAAATTAAATGAATTCCTTGACCACATGTTTTCTTTTGTTGACAAACATGTCACATGATCACTTTTGGCGGGAAAAATACTTGGGGAAACACCTAAATAACAGACAACCCTGTCTGGATATTTATAGACATTTAAAACAAGTTGCTTTTTAAAAAAAAAAGTCAATATGTGAACCTTAGAACTTTTTTTATGCTAATTATTATTTCAACTGAATTGCAAATTATATCTCAGTATTTTCATTACCATGTGTGTGGAGGATAATATTTTCTTTTTATTGTCAATCAGGACAATTATGGCATGTTGAGAGTGGTGTTAAATATAAAATAGGGAGATAAGGAATGTTTTTATTTCAATAGTTCATTTCTGGATGGTGTTAGCTTTCATTTTTACCAGTGTGAAAGGTCAAACTACTACCAATGGATGACACTTCTAGGGTGTTTATTGGTAGAGGTAACATTTCACCTAGATTCCCTCAGTAATTTTATATATTTTTCTTTTTAAAATACATATTTCAGAGCAAGTACTATATTTTGTGTTCGTAAAATGTGAAAGTTTTATTCCTACCAAATAAGACCAAATCTACTTGCTTACCATCTTCTTTTGTGCCGTAATATCCTGTTCCACCTTAGAAGTGGGTTTGGATCCAGCTAATACATTCAATTTGCTGCTTATACATGTATAATTAATATACCTGTCCAAATCTGGAGCCTGTTTTTTGTTTGCTTATTATCGTGTCTGTTTTTCCTTTTTTTTTTTTGTATAAAAATATTGCCATTGATTTATATCTTGTACAACACTGGTCAATTTGATGTCATTTAGTTCGCTTTGCTAAGACTCAACATTCAACGCCATGTTTATTGAAAAGTTCTCTCATTGGCATGCATAGTTTACCAAATATCATATAATCATATCAGTCGCAGGATAATTCGATTATTATGAAATGCAGTTCCTTCAATCAACATACGTAATAAATCTCAAAACATAACACTGTTTTTTGCTAACTTATGTTTGTTGCCTATAATTCAGAAATGTAACAGTGTTTTGGGATTTATTGCTTAAAGTTAACTTTTGAAGTATGGGTCCCTTTTCAAAAGTCTCCCAACTACTACCTCGTATGTGAACTTAAGTATAGGGGAAATTTTGTTCGCTATGTTAAAGAAATCTTCAACTTGCTCTATTTTGCCTGTGAAGACCATAAAACCGTCATCTCTAAATTTACAGTGTAATTTGATGTTTTCTTTCCACTTGAACTTATCTAAGATATTTATTAATAGGACAGACCATAGATGTATAAACCCATACATCTATGGACAGACAGATGCAGATATGTGAATGATGGTGAAAATATACCACCTATGGAGGGGGCGCTCCTATAACTTGTTTCTATAACTTTCCATTAAACTCAAATTTATTGTTTCTTAGAATTAATTAAACAAATGCAGTTTAATCTTTTTTGTTAAGAATCTTTAAAGGATATTCTTTTGTGTCAAGTAATTCTTCTGCATTGATAACTGTTTCTTTTAAATTATCAATGATCATATTTGTGTACATTTACGTTTCATCATAGGCAATAAGAATGCATTCACTTTTTACCTCGTGTGTTTTATTAATGAAATCTTTTGCCTCTTCAGAAATGGTTTTATATTAGATCATTTAATCTCTCAATGCGTCTTGTGGGAGAGTTACACTTATTGATGATCAGTCATAAGGAACATTAATTAATATCTCCTACTAGTTGACCATTTTGCAATGCCTCATTAATTATTTCTAGATTAATTTAATGAATTTTTGAAAGACTGAGGTACATGTGTCCATGTTTTGAATCATTATTATTCTTTAAAAATAATACGTATATATGGGAATCTATTTCTTTTTTTTTTCTATATGGATTATCAACTATATCTTTTATTACCATATAGCATATAAGTCATATAACCTATGCTGTGTCAAATATTTAATCACAATCCAAATTCAGAGCTGTATCAAGCTTGAATGTTGTGTCCATACTTGCCCCAATTGTTCAGGGTTCGACCTCTGCGGTCGTATCAAGCTGCGCCCAGCGGAGCATTTTATTTTTAAATGCTGGGGATCCCATTTCCCTTTCTTGGAGCTGAATTACATCACAGTGTATTCTTTAACGCAACATCGTCGTGCATCTATTCTTGTCATATATCAAACGCTTCACCAATTGCTGTCATATCCTAAGTTATTGATGATCAAAAGTAAACAATCTTCAAATTTCCTTGATTTTTATTGACCCCCAGTAAATTTAACGAGCTTTAATACACAACATGTTTGTTTTCCTTTTCATATACTCTCAAATTCATGTAACTGATTTGATAACGTTAGTGATTTGTTCTTGAATTTTGGTTGCTTATCAATGTTGAGAAAACAACATGTTAAATTTGAACACATTATAATCTGCCCTTGATACTGTATCATATGCCCTTAATTAGACAGTTAACATTTATATTTACAGGTTACTTTGTACAGTATGATGAGCTCTGATAGAAGACCAGATCCTGGTCAGGGTTTGTTGTTATACCTGAGAGATCTTGTCCAGAAAGTGATTCCTGCTGATCATCTAAACATTAGGGGTAAAGAACAAATCTTTTTAACAAATTTGCATGAATTTATAAAAAGTATGACATTGACAAAATTAGCAATTCTTCATATGTCTCGATGAAAAATATGCTTATGTTGATGTCAAAATCAATAATTATGTGTTGAATGTTGAAATCTGATTGTATCTGTTGAAACTTAATGTTGAGTGTTGAGTGAAATTTGAATGGAATGTTGAAAAAGTTGAAATTGATACTGTAAATTCAGAAATTATTGCGAGGTTTTTATTATTGCGACAAATGCGACAGAGTTGTAAACGCAATAATTTAAACTCGCATTTTGAAATATTGTATATGAACTAAACAGGATTTTTCTCAAAATCGTAAAAATTTAAATCGCATTTAAACCTAAAATGACAAAATCGCAATAATAAATGCACGCAATAATTTCTGAATTTACAGTAGTCAGATGTTGAAATTTACTTTTAGATAATGAATTGGAAAGTTCCATGCTGAAAATTGAATGTTCAAAATGGAATTAGGAATTGCTCGTTGGATGCTGAAGAATTAAAAATTGAATATTGAAATCCAATGTTGAATGTTAAAACTAAGATTGAACGTATGATATACAAATCAAATGTTGAATGTCGAAAATCAATAGTTAAATGGTAAAGTTGAAACTAGAGTTGAATGTAAGAGCTGAATGTTGAATGCATAAAATCGAAAATTAGAATTAAAAACTAAATGTTAAAAATGCTATGTTGAATGCTGGAATTGAACATTGAAAACAAATGTTGAGGATTATATCATAGGTCATACTGTTATACACACCCAGTCTCTACTAAAACAAAAAGGTTTTTTTTTTCATTTAGAAAGAATCGAGAAAAAATTTGATAATGTTATTTTTGATGTTTTTGGGCATATTGCAATTGCATACATTTGGGGATTGAAATGTTTTACGTTTGCGTGCAGCTTTTGATAACATTTCCACGCATTCATTTTACAGGTAAGACAGGTAAAAATAAAGATAATTGATAATAAATATGGCTAAAGTTATTAATTTTGAAAATTTTCTAAATTTAAATTAAACAAGTAATCCTGTGTTAGGATGCTAACACAAAAGTCGCCAAAACGGCCCCCAACCATTGTTCTGCTGTTTCCATGGTAACGGCAGCCATTTTGAAATTTCAAAGTCGGATATATCTTCACGTGACAGGTCACATTACTTACAAGTTTCATAAAAATTGGACCAATTTTCAAATTTAGGCATTCGTGTTTCCATGGTTACGGTGGCCATTTTGGAAATTCCAAAGTCAAATGCCACATCTACATAAGACAGTCAACATTTGTGTAAAGTTTGATTAAGTTTGATGCATTTTGAATTTTTTGACATTTTTGCAGTTTCCATGGTAACGGCAGCCATTTTGAAAATTCCAAAGTCGGATGGCACATCTACACATGACAGGTCACATTACTGTCAAGTTTCATAAAGATTGGACCAAATCTAGATTTTCCGCATTTTTATTGTTTCCATGGCAACGGCTGCCATTTTGGAAATTCCAAAGTCAAATTCCAAATCTACATACACTCGTTAACATCTCTGTAAAATTTCATTAAATTTGAAGCATTTTAAAAAAAAATCACATTTTTGCAGTTTCCATGGTAACGGCGGCCATTTTAAAAATTCCAAAGTCGAATTACAGCTACATATGGTGCTACCTGTAATAATCTATCATTATATAATATAAAAAGTACATAGGAATAATTCAACACTATCACATGACTAATCACATGACTATTGTTCTAGAATGTTCAATGAAAATTGACCCCCGAAAAACAATTAATGCCAAGATGACCCGGGCTGAAATAAAAAATGTGGAATGGACACCTGGACATCGGTCTCTTGTATTACACAAAACTTAAAGGTTCTACCAGTAGCGAATCCATATTCAAAAAATTACCCCACCCATGTTCCGGCCCCCAAATAGTGCCAAGTTGACCCCCATTTGAAATAAAAAATAGTGAATGCACCCCTAGGGATACTACCCCAACATCATACCAAATATAAAGTTTCCATCATTTAAGGCTTGGAAGAAAATGGTCGGACAAATTAGGGTTAAGAAGAATAATAACTAGATTTGCCATTGCAAGCAATAGCGGATGGCACCCTTCCCCAATTGCCAGGTGAGCGGCAGCAATTTAGCAAATTCCAAAGTCAAAGACAGCATCTACACATGCAAATTATCATTTTGGTAAAGTTTCATTAAGTTTGGAGCATTTTGAAATTTTGAACTTTTTTGCTGTTTCCATGGTTACGGCAGCCATTTTGAAAATTCCAACTTCAAAATGCAACTCTGCCCATGCCAGTTACCATTTCTGTAAAGTTTCATCCGGTTTGCAGCATTTTGATTTTTTTTTAAATTTTGAACATTTTTGCTGTTTCCCTGGTTACAGTGGATAATTCCAAAATTCTAAAAGCAGACATCTCATTGCCACATGTCATGTTATATATATCAATACAGTTTCATTGACTTTGGTCAAATACTCTTTAAGAAAATGCTGATTTTATGCATTTTCCTATAGGGTCAATGTAAAACTTGCCCCCAGTTTCCATGACAATGGCGCCCATTTTGGACTATCCAAATATTGTCTTGACATCTTAGCATACTGGGTAACATTTTCATAAAGTTTCATCCAGTTGGGTCTTATAACGAAAGAGTTAGAATTTTTGATATTTTAGCTGTTTCCATGGTAACGGCAGCCATTCTGAAAATTCCGAAGTCAAACTGCAAATCAGCACATGCCAGTTACCATTCCTGTGGAGTTTCTTTCAGTTTGGAACACTTTGATTTTTTTCACATTTTTGCTGTTTCCATGGAAACGGCGGCCATTTTTTACCATTCCATAGCAAGGTGCACAACTTTACATGGGGGTCCTCATTATAGTAGAGTTCCATCAACATTGGTCCATTGGATTCAAAGAACTTGCGCGGACAAAATGTGTTGAAGAAAAATAAGAAAAAAAAGAAACGTAGAATAACAATATGTCACCCCAACTCCGTTGAGGGTGCCATAATAATAACTAGATTTGCCATTGCAAGCAATAGCGGATGTCACCCTTCCCCCATTGCCACTAGATTGCAGCAAGTTTTTAAATTTTAAACAGTGAATGCACATATATCTGATGGCTATACATCTTTCTGTAATTTTTTAGAACATTTAGCGGATTTACAAATTTAACGCATAATTTTTCCTTTTTTGCCTTGTTTCCATGGTAACGGCAGCCGTTTTGGAAATTCCAACGCCAATTACCGCTTCCACACATGACAGTCAACATTATTGTGAAGTTTCATTAAGTTTGAAGCATTCTGAAATTTTTGAAATTTTTGCTCCTGTATCCATGGTAACATAGTAAATCCAATGATTGTCAAAATCATTCAAAACCTGTATATAATGGACAACTATATTGTATAAAAAATTGATGATTTTAAGTTATAGCATACCAAAATTATTCACCAAACCCTGAAGTTTTTGGAGCATTTTGACCTGTTTGCATTGTTTCCATGGTAACAGCAGCCATTTTGGATATTCTAACTCCAAATGCCACATCTTCCAATGTTGCTCATCGTTACTGTGAAGTTTCATTAAGTTTGGAGCATTTTGATATTTTTGAAATTTTTGGTGTAGTTTCCATGGCAACATAGTAGTTCCAATGATTGCCAAAATCATCCAACACCAGTATATAGTGGGCACCTACATTGTATTAAAATATAATGATTCTTAGTTTAAGCATATCCAAATAGTTCACCAAAACCAAAAACTGGATTTTTTCATATTTGTTCCGTTTCCATGGTAACGGCAGCCATTTTATATGTTCTTAAGACCTACTGCAACCCGAAATTTTGTGTTCCTCATTATAGTGAACTATCATTTAGATTGGTTCCATTGGCTCCAAAAAAACTGCTGGACAAAAATCATTGGAAGAATAATAATAAAAACAAAGAAACAGAGGAAAAGCAATATGTCACCCGACATTGTCGATCGGGTGACATAATAATAATAATAAGAAGAAGAAGAAACGGGACAAAAACATAAAGTCCCCAAAACTCCGTTTTGGCGGCTTAATTATATATTTTTCATATTGAATTCTAAAAAAGATAAAGTGATCATGAGGAATCCTGTAATAGCTTAAGGCATACATGTTACTTAATTAACAATATTTCAAAGTGAAAAGTGTTCTGTTTCCTAATTTTATTGAATAGTGATTGCTTTAGCAAACAATTTAAGTCAGTTTGTAAAGTTGCGCCAAGGCACAAACATGGAGCTTTGTTTGTCAAAAACAAATCGGTGGAAACATCATTAGTGTACGATGGATTTACTTTCCGTATTGACAGAACACTTATGACAGGGGATAATTCATGGCTATGTACCATAAAGAATTGCAAAGGATATTATTTGATCTACATTTAACAGCCGTTCTAAATGGTAACTGTGAACATACACATGAGTGCGATTTTAGGAAACTTCAGAGGCAGATTATCCATGCAATTGTAAAGAGAAAAGCTACAGCCGACATAACTGCTAGGCCTATGAAATTAGTATTTACCTGTATTTACCTGAGTTTACCGGTAAAATGAATGTGCACAAATGTAATCACAAGCTGCACACAAATGTAATGGTAATGTGCACATATGTTATGCACTGGATGTTTTCTGGTAATCCTTGGCTCACATGGACAATATTGTAGTTGCCTTTAAAGTTTTTTATTTAAAAATCATATTAAAGTATTCAAAAATCATATTTTTAGGTTTGATACAATTGAGAAATGAGATGGCATATTATTTAAATGATCAAGTATCCAAATCCACAACAAATGATGGTCAGGCTTCATATCACATTGGCCGGTTACCAGATCCTATCAACAACCAACGAGCATGCCTCAAATGTGTTCAACTAACAAACTGTTGTATTTATCAAAAGTAAGTAAATATTGTTAAAGCAAAAGCTTTTCCAAAAAAAGGTTGCAAATTCCATGGGGAACAAAATCGGTCAAGGTTGCCATAAAACTTCACAAACATAACATTGTACTTTTTTTAGCTCACCTGACCCGTCGTCGTCGTCGTCGTCCGTCATCGTTAGCTTTTTACAAAAATCTTCTCCTCTGAAACCACTGGGCCAAATTTAACCAAACTTGGCCACAATCATCATTAGGGTATCTAGTTTAAAAAATGTGTCCGATGAACCCCGCCAACCAACCAAGATGGCAGCCATGGTTAAAAATAGAACATAGGGGTAAAATGTAGATTTTGGATTATATCTCTGAAACCAAAGCATTTAGAGTAAATCTGACATAGAGTAAAATTGATTATCAGGTCAAGATCTATCTGCCTTGAAATTTTCAGACAAATCTGATAACCTGTTGTTGGGTTGCTGCCCCTGAGTTGGTAATTTTAAGGAAATTTTGCAGTTTTTGGTTATTATCTTGAATATTATTATAGATAGAGATAAACTGTAAACAGCAATAATGTTCAGCAAAGTAATATCTACAAATAAGTTGTCATGACCAAAATTGTCAGTCGACCCCTTTAAGAGTTATTGCCCTTTATAGTCAATTTTTAACAATTTTTCGTAAATTTTTGTAATCTTTTACAAAAATCTTCTTCTCTGAAACTACTGAGACAAATTTAACCATACTTGACCATAATCATTATTAGGATATTTAGTTTAAAAAATATGTCCGATGACCCCGCCTTCCAACCATCATGTCCGACTTGGTTAAAAATAGAACATAGGGGTAAAATGCAGTTTTTGGTTTATATCTCTGAAACTAAAGCATTTAGAGCAAATCTGACAGGTGGCAAAAATGTTCATCAGAGTTAGATTTATCTGCCCTGAAATTTTCAGACAAATCGGACAACCCGTTGTTGGGTTGCTGCCCCTGAGTTAGTAATTTTACAGAAATTTTACAGTTTTTTGTTATTATCTTAGATATCATTATAATATCTAATATCTAATACTATTAATTATGATTTTAACCTTATTTTACATGATTTCCAAAGCATCAGTAAATACAGGTGAGCGTCACAGGCTCTTGAGAGCCTCTAGTTTTAATTGTCCATTAACCAGGAAACCCTTGTTTTTCTCCCTTTTTTGCCCCTAATTCCTAAACGGTTTGAGCCATAACCCCCCAAAGCCAATCTTAACCATCCCTTTGTGGTATGGAAACTTGTGGTATAATTTCAGAGAGATCCATACACCGTTCCACAAGTTATTGTCTGGAAACTAGAAAAATGCTTATTTGGGCCCCTTTTTGGCCCCTAATTCCTAAACTGTTAGGACTATAACCCCCAAAATCAATCCCAACCTTCTTTTTGTGGTTATAAACCTTGTGTTTAAATTTCATAGATTTCTATTTACATTTACTAAAGTTATTGTCCGGAAACCTAATGTCTTCAGACAATGCTGACGATGACGACGACATGATACCAATATACGACTGCAAAATTTTTTGCGGTCGTATAAAAAGTCGTCATTTAAGGGCAATCACTCCTATAAAGATTCTACTTACGGTACTATAATGGCAAAATTTGACTTGTTTGTTGATCTTGTCTTGCTGATCATTTTTATATTGAAAGGTTCTATTTATCTTTTATAGTTTTTAAGATAATAGGCAAAAACACCAAAAATTAGTAAAAATATATAAAGAGCAAAAACTCCAGTAACAAGTCGACTAACGGTTTTGACTACTTGATCTCTTTGTAGATCTTGTTTTGCTGGTCATTTTCACTTTTAAAAGTTTCTCTCTGACTATTACATATTTCAAAATAATAGGCAAAAATGAAAAAGAAAATGGCCTTAAACTTGTCATTTAAGGACGATGACTCCTATAAGAAGTTGACTGACAGTTTTGACATGAATTGACATTAGGTAGAGCTCAATACTCTGAACATTTCTGCCCCATCAGATTTTCTCTTATTTATTGCGGTTTTCAAAATAATCGACAACACTTGCATTTTATATCCCTATGTTCTATGTTTAGCCATGTCGGCCATCTTGGTTGCCAGGCAGGGTTAATGGACACATTTTTTAAACAAGATATCCCAATGATAATTGAGGCCAAGTTCAACCAAAACTGTCAGATGACTTCTTATAGGAGTTATTTTTGGTTAAACTTGGACCAGTAGTTTCAGAGGAGAAGATTTTTGCAAAAGTTAATGACGACAAAGACGGACGATGGATGCCAAGTGATGAGAAAAGCTGAGCTAAAAAAGAACTCTCAAAGTATACCACTACTCAAGACTAAGGCAGAGATAACAGCAGAAAACGACACGGACAGTGACAGATATGAAGCATTAAATGAACAATTTACTATAATTAGCACATATATCATTAGACACATTTTTCAATAATCCATCAATACCAGCTCAATACCTGATGAATGGACAATAGCAGACATTTGTCCACTTTTCAAGTAGGCTACCAATTCGATACCGGCAAACTACTGCTAAGTATCCATAACTTGCATTATCTGCAAGATGCTCGAACATATAGTATGCTCCAACATTATGTGCCACCTAGATTATTATAATATCATCAATGAAAAACAACATGCTTTTCGTAAATATAACAGTAACAACTATTTAATGTTATCAATAATTGGGCTTAACACATCAATAAAGGACACCAAACAGATATATTTATATTAGATTTTGAAAAAGCCTTTGACACAGCCCAACATGAACTACTTAAATCGAACTTAAATATGTAGGGGCCGGGATATTAGGTTAAACACTATGTTGGATTGACTCATTCCTATGCTACTGCAAGCAAAGAGTTGTGGTAAATTAGACAAAATTAAACTGGTCCATCTGGCGTTGACTCTGGAGTACCTCAAGGCACTGTTTGATGTCCTGTGTTATTTAGTCTACATATCAATGATATCTTGGATAATTGGGTGTTTGGCCAGTAGAAACACCCAAACAATTCGATCAGTGTAAAATAAAGTATCTTTTTCATCATCAAAAAATTAAAAAGAACAGAGGATAATGATTTTTCAGTTAAAGAATCTTGACAAAGCACTGCATTAAAGTCTTTCTAATATAAATAAAAGAATAACTTTCAAATTTCAACATTCCTTTACATTTGTAGTATGAATGAATATACAGTAAAACCTGTATAAACCTGTCGGATACGGAACTTTGGAAAAGGGCCGGTTTGGACAGTGGGCCGGTGTATCCAGGTTTCCATTTTGACCGGAAGTTGGTGACTAGTGACTTCCGATGTATTGCATGCAAAAGTTCTGTCTCATTGTAAATTATAAACTGATCAATACAAAACGTAATAACTTTGCACGACCGTTGTTTTGAATCTTCTTATTCATAGAAATTATAGAAATTTAATAAAGTGGTTGTTCCCCGAATTCAAAAATATATTATTTCAACCCTTTTTTAGCTCACCTGGCCTGAAGGGCCAAGTGAGCTTTTCTCATCACTTGGCATCCGTCGTCCGTCGTCGTTAGCTTTTTACAAAAATCACTTGGCCAAATTTAACCAAACTTGGCCACAATCATCATTAGGGTATCTAGTTTAAAAAATGTGTGCGATGATGGCCGCCATGGCTAAAAATAGAACATAGGGGTAAAATGTACATTTTGGCTTATACCTCTGAAACCAAAGCATTTAGAGAACAATCTGACATAGGGTAAAACTGATTATCAGGTCAAGATCTATCTGCCCTGAAATTTTCAGACAAATCTGACAACCTGTTGTTGGGTTGCTACCCCTGAATTGGTAATTTTAATTTTGCAGTTTTTGGTTATTATCTTGAATATTATTATAGATAGAGATAAACTGTAAACAGCAATAATGTTCAGCAAAGTAAGATCTACAAATAAGTTGTCATGACCAAAATTGTCAGTCGACCCCTTTAGGACTTATTGCCCTTAATAGTCAATTTTTAACAATTTTTTGTAAATTTTTATAATCTTTTACAAAAAATCTTCTTCTCTGAAACTACTGAGACAAATTTAACCATACTTGGACATAATCATTATTAGGGTATCTAGTTTAAAAAATTTGTCCGATGACCCCCCCTTCTAACCATCATGGCCGACTTGGTTAAAAATAGAACATAGGGGTAAAATGCAGTTTTTGGTTTATATCTTTGAAACTAAAGCATTTAGAGCAAATCTGACAGGTGGCAAAAATGTTCATCAGATTTAGATTTATCTGCCCTAAAATTTTCAGACGAATCCAACAACCCGTTGTTGGGTTGCTGCCCCTGAGTTAGTAATTTTACAAAAATTTTGCAGTTTTTTGTTATTATCTTAGATATTATTATAATATCGAATATCTAATACTATTAATTATGATTTTAACCTTATTTTAAATGATTTCCAAAGCATCAGTAAATACAGGTGAGCGACACAGGCTCTTGGGAGCCTCTAGTTTTAAATATCCTCGTATGTCAAATTGACCTCGTAAGCATCACCAGTCTCTGATTTGTCAATTTCACTTACACCTTGTGTTCATTGTTTTTATTTGCATCAGATTCCAGGTTATGTAGTTTATTGAATATCAACTCTACATAAAACTTTGAAATTGAAATTGAAATCAGAATCCTGCGTTGTTTGAATTGTTATACGAGAGTCTTGTTTTACTTCCATCGTTCATTTCCTACGTTGGTATAGCCAATAAAAAGCCAGAATTTTATCAATTGAAATTTCATCACAATCGAAACATTGTCGTACAGTGTACATACCCATGGATTGTCGTCATCCGGGTGTTTTTCATTATAAGGGTCATTAGTCTAGGGGTTCACAACAGGGAACCCAGGATTTTGAAAACACGATGTAAATTTTTTACTCCGCGATTTGAAAAGTATTATCCAAGTTACAACGGACGTTCTATCAGAGATATATTCGGAGTGTCTTTTAGTTTAATTTACACATTTATAGTGTTTCAATAATACGGCTCAATACTGTACCATGTGTAAGTTTATGGTTTAACACCTGGCTAATTGATTATCCTGAAAAGTCATCCTGTATAAACAAATATTTTTTGATTGCATATCGATCAATACTGTTATCATTTTTTATTAATAAGACAAACCGGTTTTGACAGGTAATAATTGATGTAATTAAGAGTATTGGGACTGCATCGATATCATTAGACCGGAATTCGTAATACACAGGGTCCGGTTTACAAAGGGTATTTTAACAAGACTTTGAAGGGAAAAAAATGGGACTTTAATTTTCGGCCGGAATGGACCGGAAACCGGTTTATTCAGGGTCCGGTTTACTCAGGTTTGACTGTAGATACATGTCTATGTTAATGTTCTCAATTATAGTAATGTTTAAAACATTATACTGAATGAGTGACATTATTTTCAATTGAACTATTATAAAATAATGTTAACAGCTACTTAAATAGGACTGAATTTTCAGAAAAGAATTAAGCCGCATGATATTCAAAGCACTGTAGACAATTTGATTTTTAGAATTCCTAGGACATGACTACGGCTAGCTTGTAAAGGGCACTGTGCAAATCGTATATCCATGTACTGTTTTTCCGCCAGTTTTTTCACACCAATTCATATTTATTGATATTAAAGTCTAGGAGAGCATATGGTAAAGCTTTCCCGATGTTAATACCGACAATGTACTTCAACGTATGTCGTTTGTTGCTGTATATCATATTTGTTTTTCATTCATTATTATGTACATAAATCAAGCCGTTAATTTTTTCTCATTTGAATTGTTTTACATTTGTCATTTCGGGGCCTTTTATAGCTGACTATGCGGTATGGGTTTTACTCATTGTTGAAAGCCATACAATGACCTATAGTTGTTAATTTATGTGTCATTTGGTCTCTTGTGGAGAGTTGTCTCATTGGCAATCATACCACATCTTCTTATTTTTACATTCAGTATTGTAATCGGGTGAGAGAGGCTTTGTATAGTAAATAATTTTATCAAGGTTTTCATGAAAATAAAGTGAATCCAAGTTTCTATGTCTAGTTCCAAGGTTTCCATATCGGTTGTTGTCCATACTTGATTGTCCCATCAGGTTTCTCTTATGTTTTTTTTCTATTATACAAGAAAAGATAGCAGGAAATTCACTAATGCAGAACAACACAACAAAATACACCACATCACTAACCCTAATTCAAAGTAATTAAAAAAGAAACAAAGAAAAATGATGAAAAGCATTTCCCCAAAAAAATGAATTACTCCACAACCTATCTAGAATCGAGGCATATATCCATATTTTAACCCTGTATGTAGATTTTTTGTGTTGTTGGGTTACTGTCTCCCACATCTCTTTTTTATTATCTTTAAATCAGAAAAGTCAAACAGACTGTAGTGAATCGCATGAACAACGTACGTTCATGGTCTCAAGTGCAAGAGTAGAACATGAAATAAATGAAGTAATGGAACAATTGCAAGTGGTTTACGCAATTAAATTAAGTACAATATGCTTCCACTTTTAAAATTTTTAAAACATAGACTCATCATTTCCTGCCATTTATTTTAATACTTTATGCTTTCAAATCTTTTTTCTTAAATTTTCCTTCTTGTAAACATGCAACATACTTTATAAAACATGCCTGTTCAATCTATATAGTGGTTGATAACGAATATGATTCGACAGAAAAGTTAAATAAAGATATTGAGAAGATACATATTTGATCTAATTGATGGCTTGTTAATTTTAACCCAACCAAACAGAAGTAATGACTATCTCAAAAAAGCACCATAAACCTCAGCATGCAGTTTATATGAATAATAATAGCATAAAAGAAGTCCAGTCGCACAAACATTTAGGGGTTATTATAAATGAAGACAGAAGCTGGAATAGTCATGTAAAAATGATTATTGATAAAGCTATTCCACAATTAGCCTTATTCAGAAAGCTGAAGTTTAAATGAAAAAGGAAGAATTCAGAAACTATTTAATAATATTTATCTTTTATACGCCCAGTCTTAGAATACAGTGATATTGTCTGTTACAATATCCCTGATTATTTAAAAACATCTTTAGAAAACTTGCAACTAGAAGCAGCAAGAATCGTTACAGAAGGTACCAAGATAACATCAAGACAGTTGCTGTACATTGAAACAGATTGGGAAACTCTCCAGTCTCAGCATAACAAACATAAGTTGTGAAAATTTCACCAAATGTTTCACATAGGTTGTCCTGATTATCTTTCTGTATTAGTTCCAAATCAAAGGATAGATGTACATGACTACAGAATGATGGGGTCTTCAAATTTGAACAAGTTATTACCAGAAGTCATTTCTGACAGCCGTTATAAATATTTGAAATTATATTCCAGACGACATTGTTTAAATCAATCCAAATCTGGTTTTAGGACGTATCTCTTTCAAATAATTAATAAAATCCTTTTGTAATTTCACCTAGGCTGTAGAAGAGAACAAATATATTTTGCAAGACTCAGACTCCATAGTAGTGTTCTAAGGGACCATCTATTTACAAAAAAAAATCTTATCGAAAAACGCACTGTGTTCTGTGGTCACGTAGAAACTACCTCTCATTATTTCCTCAAATATCCAAAAAATAATAAAATTTGAAGGGATACTACCAGGACAGTCTCTTTCATTATTAACCTTAAGATTATATATTTCATAAAGTTTCTGAATATATAAATAAAACAAAATGTTTTGAAAGTTGACCTTGTATATGTATCTATAGGTTATATACATTGATGTCAAATCAAGTGGACCTCCCGTAATCATCGATAATCAGACATGTGGTGGTTCCAGTGACTGGCTATCTTTTTAGCTCACCTTTCCAAAGGAAATGTGAGCTTTTGCCATCACTTGGCGTCTGTCGTCTTCCGTCCGGTGTAAACTATTTCAAACATCTTCTCCTCTGAAACTACTGAACCAATTCCAACCAAACTTAGCTGAATGATCCTTAGGGTATCTAGAATAAAGTTTTTGTTTTATTCACTGTTTCGTTAAAAAACATGGCCGCCATGGCTAAAAATAGAACATAGGGGTAAAATGCAGTTTTTGGCTTATATCTCAAAAACTAAAGCATTTAGAGCAAATCTGACATGAGGTCGAAATGTTCATTAAGTCAAGTTCTATCAGCCCTGAAATTTTCAGATGATACTAACAACCCATTGTTGGGTTGCTGCCACTAAATCGGTAATTTTAAGGAAATTTTACAGTTTTCGGTTATTATCTTGAATATTATTATAGATAAAAGATAAACTGTAAACAGCAAAAATGTTCAGCAAAGTAAGATCTACAAATAAGTTTGATATGACCAAAATGTCAATTGACCCCTTAAGGAGTTATTTCCCTTTAAGGACAATTTTACACAATTTGTTTATCATGTTTTCTAACTTTAAAAAAATCTTCTCCTTTTAAACTGCTGAATCAATTTCAGCTAAACTTGGGCTGAATGAGTTTCAGAGTATCTAGTATAAATTTTGTATTTTATTTCCTTGTACATCAAGAAACATAGCCACTATGTCTAAAATGGAACATAGGGGTAAAATGCATTTTTTTGCTTTTAAAGAAAATATGACAGATACAAAGAATATTTAAATGGTCTTTTTAAGCCACTCATTAATATATATTGAAAAGCAAAAATAATCATTGATGAAAGATTTAAGCAAAAAATTACAGGTGAGCAATTCAGGCTCTTGAGAGCCTCTTGTTTGTTTTTGTTTTAATTTGTATTTATTAAAATTTATTATATGTTATCTTAAACCGAATATACTATTGTCATGTCAAATTGTTTGTTACATAATTGTATTTTTTTCGGGAGACAGATTTATAAAGTTTTTTTTCCAAATTTGTTTCTGAATCCCAAAATCGACTGCTATGTAAAATTGTACTGCTTTATTGTTTTTCTATAATAAATACTGTATAAACAAGAAGAGGACTGACGGACAGACGGATTGACTTACTGACAGGTCAAAAACATTATACTCTATGCAATATTTGCACGGGGTATAACTAAATTAGCATGCCTATGAAAATAAATAACCAAAAAGAAAAGATATAAATTCGGTTTCTGTTCCGTTTTCCATTCCGTTTCCGGCTTTTAGCAACACCCCATAAATGGGTCTTAATATCTCTACTATGAATTTTCTGAATGTAAATGTCAGGACTGGGTTGCACAAACTCTTAATTCATTTAACACTTAAAAGTTTAAATGTCATTGGTTGCAGTAAGATACCTTAATTTCCAAGGCTTAATGGCATAAAACATTATCAGGGAGTCTGGGGCTAATTCCCCCAGCTGGTTTGCCAGTGGTGAATTATTTGTTGCATATTCTCTTGACCATGCTATATCGTCACTTTGATTTGACAACTTTTAAAGGAGTTATGGGACTTTTTCTTCAACCTTGATTGTTTCCTTAATTTTAATTTTATCAAAGTGGCAAACCCGGTTAAGTTTAAGCTAAATGACATTTGGACAAGAGTGAATTGTCAAGGGCATGTCCAGAAAATACAAATGTTTTGGAAGCCATGGAGAAGGTTTTATAGTTAGCATACATGAATATTCTAACAAACATTAGAAATGTTAGTTAAAATTAATTAGATTATGGTTCAAAAACAAGTCAAACATAACAACACCCTAGTTTTTATTTGCATTTTTTTAAATTGCATAAAGTATTTTTTAAACTTTAGGTCTATAGAGGAAAAGAATTTGAACTCATCTATGGCAAGTCTGGTTCCAAACACCTTGTGTCACCTTTTACAGGAACATTTAGACTTCTATGTTCACTGGTGCCTTTTGTTGGACCTGGAGAGTAAAGCCAGTACAGATAAGGGAGGAGTCAGTGATCTGTGGTGTAAAACAGGCCACCAAAGGTAAATCAATACAAACATTTCCCTCATATTGATACTTTATGGTCTGAAGTTTCTTGGTATACATGTCAGCTGTCTTTGACATTATATTCGTAGTTCAATGACTTATATTCAGGGTATATGGTTAAGAAGCAAGTGCAGATAATAATGCATCCAAAAATATATATAGCAAACGGGGGGGGGGGATTTATTCCGTATTTATCAAATATTATTTTATGAAATTTTAGTAAATCAATTATTAACATGATAATAAAATAATGAACATTTTGTAAAACAAATGAGAAATCCAAGAGCCTGATTTGTGCTTAAAGATGTCAGACCACCAATTCTGATTCACACACTCCAGTTTAGAACATATGTAAAAGTATGCCTACTCTGATAAATATAGTGTTTTTTACTTAAACTAACAAATGAATTTTCATGAATGTAACTTTTTCTGAATGAGGAATATATTTTGGTAATTGTGAGCCCAATTTTAGGGCAGTTGTGCTAAATAGTATTCTAATGAAGATTTTCAGTAACCCATATTTTTAGTAGTAGGTGACTTCTCAAACATCATGTTTTAAACATAGATTGAAACTTGGCATGTAGAAAGTTGATACATGTATAATTCAGATTTCTGAATAAACATGGTTTTCTCCCAGTTTTTGGTGGGGTTCATGTTGCTCAATCTTTAGTTTTTGTCTCGCCTTTACAAAGTCAAAAAGCGAGACATAGGTATGCTGTTTCCGGCATCGGCGGCGTCAACAATGTATTAGTTTGTGATTAGGTCTAGTTCATGGTGAACCACTAGTGATAGGTCAATGATATTTGGTATGCAGTTGTATTAGCATTGGCACATCTCATTACCATGGAGATGATTTGGCCCAGTCCCCTCAGTCAAGGTCTATTGACTTTGAAACTTTTCATAGTTTACATGTATTAGTTTGTGATTAGGTCAATTTATGGGGAACCACTAGTGGTATGTCAATGATATTTGGTATGCAGTTGTATAAGCATTGGCATATCTCATTTCCATGGAGATTATTTGGCTCCGCCCCCTTAGTCATGGTCTATAGACTTTGAAAATTTTGCTAAGTTAACATGTATTAGTTTGTGATAAGGTCAGTTCAAGGGGAACCATTAGTGGTAGGCCAATGTTAATTGGTGTTCAGTTGTATAAGCATTAGCACATCTCATTTCCATGGAGAATATTTGGCCCCGCCCCTTCAGTCATGTTCTATTTACTTTGAAATGTTTTCTTAGTTTACATGTATTAGTTTGTGATTAGATCAGTTTAAGATGAACTACTAATGTTAGGTCAATGATATTTGGTATGCAAATTTATTGGCATTTGCAAGTATTGTTTCCATGGAGATTATATAGCCCCACCCCTGATCATGGTTCATTGACTTTGAAACTTTTACATAGTTTACAAGTTAATGTTTGTGTTTAGGTCTGTTTAAAGGGAACGACTTATAATAAGTCAATGGTATTTGGTATGCAGTTGTATTAGCATTGGCACATCTCATTCCATGGAGATTGTTTAGCCATGTACCTTCAGTCATGGTTCATTGACTTTGAATATTTGCATAACTTACATGTTAAAGTATTGCTATTTTAATTTCAACATTTGCATTATCAAAATTACAAAAAGGCGAGACATATCTCTGTGATAAAAGTTTATCTATGTTGTGTTTTGTGTACTTTTCTGTGTCTGTTGGTCTTTTTCTTTTTTAGCCATGGCGTTGTCAGTTTATTTTCGACTTATGAGTTTGAATGACCCTCTGGTATCTTTCTTAAAAGCTTTATATTTAAGAAGGTGGAAGACCTGGATGCTTCATACTTTGTATATAGATGCCTTATGTTACAAAGTTTCCATCTGTCACATGTCCATTGTCCTTGACCTCATTTTCATGGTTCAGTGACTACTTGAAAAAAAAATTCAGATTTTTTGTAATGTTAATTTCTCTCTTATTATTATATTAGGATAACTATATTTTGTATGTGCGTACCTTGCAAGGTCCTCATGCCTGTCAGACAGTTTTCACTTGACCTCGACCTTGTTTCATGGATCAGTGAACAAGGTTAAGTTTTGGTGGTCAAGTCCATATCTCAGATACTACAAGCAATAGGTCTAGTATATTCGGTGTATGGAAGGACTGTAAGGTGAACATGTCCAACTGGCAGGTGTCATCTGACCTTGACCTCATTTTCATGATTCAGTGGTTATTGTTTTGTGTTTTGGTCTGTTTTTCTTATACTGTATGCAATAGGTCTACTATATTTGGTGTATGGAATGATTGTTAGGTATAAATGTCTAGCTGGCAGGTGTCTTCTGACCTTGACCTCATTTTCATGGTTCAGTGGTCAAAGTTAATTTTTTGAGTTTTGGTCTTTTTTTCTAATACTATATGCAATAGGTCAACTACATTTAGTGTAAGGAAATATTTTATGATGTATATGTCAGTCTTGCAGGTTTTATTAGACCTTGACCTCATTTTCACGGTTCATTGCTCAGTGTTAAGTTTTGTGTTTTGGTCTGTTTTTCTAATACTATAAGCAATAGGTCAACTATATTTGTTGTATGGAAGGATTGCAAGCTGTACATGTCTGCCTGGCATGGTTCATCTGACCTTGACCTCTTTTTCATGGTTCATTGGTCAATGTTTAGTTTTCTTGGTTAAGTCTGTATCTTAGAAACTATAAGCAATAGGTCAACTATATTTAGTGTATTGAATGATTGTAAGGTGTACATGTATTTCTTGTTTGGTTTATATGACCTTGACCTTATTTTCTTGGATCATGTTAAGTTTATGTGATAGTTGTAGTAAAGCTTTATATTTAGGACTATCAACATAATATTAATGATTAGTAAAGAAGGCGAGACATTTCAGCGTGTGCACTCTTGTTTTCTTAACTGATCATTTGGCAGGTAGCCTCATTTCAGTATTTTTATGGCAAAGAAGTCACATATTGCCAGATTAGGGCCTTAAACCTGAATTTGTGCTATTTTTAGCTTTTTCCACCCTTAAAGTATCCATTCTGATTCATATAAAAAATTGTCTGAAATTATTATCAATGCACAGTAAGTTGTTTTTTTTATATTAAACAGTTAAACATCGGTGGTTAACTACCAAAAAAAGTTTTTGTCCTGAAGATTTCATGAAATTATTAGATTTTTACCTATAATTGTATTATTGCAACAATCTTGTAATTGGCAGATAGCCTAACCTAATGAAAAAACTGCATAAATTCACCCCTATCCCTTAAATTGTCTCAAATAAAAGTTTCTTACCTTTAATATTACTTCCTTATTGAAAATGATCAATGTTTCAAGACCATAACTGTATTAATGTTCCATTACTGATAACTGAAGAAAAAAAGAGTGGGGAGGGGGGCAATATTCATTGACACTTCATTACCTTTGATTTTTTCCAAACTCATGGTTAAGGTTGTGAAAAGTGTTTAAAATGTATAGGACAGAGAAGAAAAAATCAACCAATATTGATCTTGATATTAAAAGTTTCGGTTTCTGTAGTCAGAAATTAATTTTTATGTATTTTCTATTAATGTAATACATTACAGTCAGTTCACATAGAGCTTTAAAAAAAAGTAAAATAACAAAAATACCAAACTCCAAGGAAAATTCAAATCAGAAAGTCCCTTATCAAATGGCAAATTCAAAAGCTCAAACACATCAAACGAATGGAAAACAACTGTCATATTCCTGACTTGGTACAGGCATTGCCTTATGTAGAAAATGGTGGATTAAATCTGGTTTTATAGCTAGTTAAACCTCTCACTTATATGACAGTCGCATAAAATTCCATTATATTGACAACAATGTGTGAATAAAACAAACAGACATAATCTGTAAAAATGTCAAAAATAGGGGTACAGCAGTCAACATTTTGTTATAATCTTAATCACTATAAAAACAAACAAATATGTCAACAAAGAAAAACAAAATGGCATATAGACAAAGAAAATAAGCAAAAATGAAAGACAAGAATACAAAAAATGACCACAGCACAACAACACATTGGCGGGATGCATAAGTACCGAGCCATGCCAAAAGGATATTACCAAAAATAGACTAAACAGTAAAGGTAATAATTTGCAAAGACAAATAAAAGAACACTATAACACGTAATTAAGATGATAAACAACGTCAGTACCTAGAATCTATACTTCAAGACCATCATGTATTATTTGTGAAGTTGATACGGAATATTTATCAACAAGGTCTTGGTATCTTCCGATGAACTTTTTTAGAAAAAGGACTAGATGATATTTGACAATACCCTGGTTCATCAACTTTCTGCTCAGACACTGGTGACGTTTTATAAAGTCTGGGTAGCAACTGCAAGCTCTTGAATACCGAATGAGTTGGGAAATGTTTTTCCCATATGCAGGTGAAGTTGGTATATTGCTACTAAGGTGGGGGAAATTAATAATTTCAAAATTAAAATTGTCTCGTTTGTCATAGATTCTGGTACTGAGGTGACTGCTTATGTCAAATTCGAGGGTCATTAGCCACAAATTTAAAGTTGGCATAAAAATCAAAATATGATTTTTTATTTTGTTTCAAACATTTATAACTGCAGAACTGTGAAATAGTATATTGCCATAAGATTTGCTTCAATTTTGTCAAAATAAGTTTAAAAACATTGATGATGTATTATTGGCTTGCAACTCAATAGAAATCGTATTCATGCAAACTTCAATTTAACCCTTAACTGGGATGGGCTTAGCATGTTAGTTTTATTAAACTATTAAAAAGAAAAGAATGTCAACATATTGGAAAGTGTAGCCACTATGAAGATCCCTTCCTTTGACTGATTCTTCCCACAAAAAAATCATTCAAATACAGGTAAAAACAATGATTTACATATTTTTGTCTCGCCTTGACTGAGTCATAAAGCGAGTCATAGGTATGCTGTTTCCGGCGTCGTTGTCAACAATGTATTAGTTTGTGATTAGGTCTTGTTTATGGTGAACCACTAGTGGTAGGTCAATGATATTTGGTTTTTTAGTTGTATTAGCATTGGCACATCTCATTACCATGGAGATTATTTGGCTCCGCACCCTCAGTCATGCTCTATTGACTTTGAAACTTTTGCTTAGTTTTCATGTATTAGTTTGTGATTAGGTCAGTTTAAAGGGAACTGGTAGTGGTAGGTCAATGATAATTGGTATGCAGTTGTATAAGCATTAGCACATCTCATTTCCATGGAGAATATTTGGTCCTTACCCCTGAGTCATGGTCTATTGACTTTGAAACTTTTGCTTAGTTTACATGTATTAGTTTGTGATTATGTCAGTTTAAGATGAACCACTAATGTTAAGTCAATGATATTTGGTATGCAAATGTATTGGCATTTGCAAGTTTCATTTTTATGGAGATTTTATAACCCCACCCCCTCATTATGGTTCATTGACTTTGAAACTTTTACATAGTTTACAAGTTAATGTTAAAGGGAACAACTTATGAAAAGTCAATGATATTTGGTATGCTGTTGTATTAGCATTGGCACATCTCATTTCCATGGCGATTGTTTAGCCCTGTAACTTCAGTCATGGTTCATTGACTTTGAATATTTGAATAACTTACATGTTAAAGTATTCCTATTTTAATTTCAACATTTGCATTATCAAAATAACAAATAGGCGAGACATATCTCTGTGTTAAAAGTTTATTTAATCTATGACATGAAATTAAACAGACTTAAAAATATGGTCATTATTGAAAATTGAAAAATTTTGTTGAATATATTAGGATATTGAATTGGTGATCTGACATCTAACTGACAGCAAACAACAGATTGACACATTCACTTTACAATCATTTTCTTCCATAGAAGTTAATTGATCTGTTATTTAAAGTATTTCAGAAATGGACATGATCTTGGAAACCACTATAAATAGAGAAGATCTGAGAGGGGCAAAATGTTCACAATGATGAGATCTTCCTTTTGTATATTTACATCTAAAATTTCTGAAGACTTCTATAGCAGTAATTGCCCTTAAATGATGAATTTTACCAACTTTTATATAATTTTTGCCTATTCTCTTGAAAATTATAATAGATTTTAATAAACTTTATTAGCAAAAAAGATCAGCTAGACAAGATCTACAAATAAGTCTGATTTGCCGATATTGTCATTCGACCCCTTATTGGAGTAATTGCCCTTTAATTATGATTATAACCATTTTATGGCATTTTCTAGAAAACTATAATAGAAACTTGAAAAAAGCAAAAATTATCAGTAAGACAAGATCAACAAATAAGTCAAGTTGCAGAAATAGTCCGTAAATAACTCATAACCATCCATAAACTGCTCACAAGAATCAAGAAAATGACTCAAAACAACATTTTTTTGCAATTTGGTACGGTTAGTTTACGATTTGTTTACAGATTATTATGAGTGCTTACGTGTTGTTTATGATTTCATTCAGGTTATATTACGATAGCTTTAGGGATTGTTACGAATTATTACGAGCACTTTTCTTGTACAATGATGTTGTGAATACTTTTACGAACAGATAATATAATTTACGTATTGTTTTTTGGAAAGGTATAAAAGCTTCAAAATCATAAGAACTCATAAATACATGTAACCAACTTGCAAATATTCATGATTATTTTAATAGTCTGATTTAACTCAACATGCCCACATTAATGAAAATGTAATGAACTATTCTTTTGTTTTTACTGTACAAGGTTGCTTGACTTGCTCATTATCTGGTCATACAGAGAAGTTACTGACAAACTTGGTAGTGCTCTGAACTATGAAGGACTTCTGATAAAGTTAATAGTTCTTTTATGCTTGAAGAAACGTCATTTAGGCCACCGTAGTCAATGTTTCGATCCCTATTCCAGCCTTTGCAAAAATCATGTGATATCCCTATCATTGAATTTGTCAATCAGCCACGGCAATTAAACCTTTTTGCAAATGAAAATTTGTCCACTATCATCACGATTTTACAATTCTGACATACAGTCAGAGGAATACAACTTAAAAGTTCCAAAGAAGTTCGAATTTTTGCATGTTTACAATGCCCAATTAATCAGAAGATGAAAAGATAATCTTGAGAAAAACATATTTTGATTGGCTAATTATTGTTGCTCAAAGTTGTCCCCGTGGCTAATTATCGCTGATCTCGATTGTCACCCAAGGATCAGGATTGTCACCTTTGGGAAAAGTTCAGAGTCCTGAACAGTTGCGAGAATTAGTCTTGGGAAATCCTGTACATACACATGCTGTTAACAGCTTCGTAATAGCGGTAAAAATTAGTTGCCAATTCCAGGTCCTATATATGTCTTGTTTTATACAAATATTACATAATCGATGGTCGATGGGGGGGGGGGGGGGGGGGGGGGGGGGGGGGGGGGGGGGGGGGGGGGGGGGGGGGGGGGGGGGGGGGGGGGTGTTAAATTGTTCATTTTTGTCTAGTCTGCAATGAAAGTAGCAGAATGCAGACATTTGGATGCTAAACCAGCAGCAGGGGTCATATTTTATAGTAAAAAAATATCTTTATCAGAAAACAACCAAATAATAAATAATTTTTTTATTTTACTTTTGATGAAAGATATGAAAATATGTTAAGCCTTTAATAAGGATGATTAAACTTTTTCTTGGTCGACATTTTTTCAACAAAAAAAAATGATTATTACTAGTGGAGTAAACAAGACATTTCAGAATGTGCACTCTTGAGTCTCTTGTTCAAATACTAAGTGACCTGATTTGGTCCTTTTCTTGTTTCATTTAAATTCACTTGGTTAAATATTTTAATTATTACAAAACATTTGTCAACCAAAATTTGGTTATAGATGTGAAACTTGATAATGGAAGATTATTCATGTTTCCAGATTACATATATTTCCAAATTGATTCTTTCACAAAAGCATTCAACTTTAATAGCTTCTAAGAAAACAGTTCAAATGATGCTTATCTGGCCATGAATGCAAGGCTTATCAATATACTATATAATAATTCATTGTTCTAAATTATTTCCTTTCATTGAATGATATAAAATATATGCAGATAAAGTATGACTCAATTTGGAAATTGCATCGGAAAAAAATGCTGAAAATGAAGTTGCTTTAATTCTTTTTAGAGAACAAGAAGGTACCTGTATTGATGGACTGAGTTTATCACATCATCAAGTTAATAATGGATATTGTTTATTGACATTTTCCAGACACCAAAATAAGCACAAGTAGGTATCACTTAATCTTTTGTCATAGAAATTCTGGGTGTACGTCCGTCTGTGTGTCCATCTGATCTTGTATAAGTGCTCTCACATGTACAATAGACAAGTTTCACATAAGCGACTTATCAACGCTGATCTCGAAATCCTATGCACGTTTGAGTTTAAATCCCGCGATAATTAACGATATTATGCGTGACAGGGGGCTCGTCAAATTGACTCTGATATTTAGCAACACAATAATAAATCAACTAATAATACACATATCTCTCTTATGGTGTATGCTTGAGATTATTTAAGTTTAAGATATTAATAATCGTTTATTTGATTAACAAATTTAAAATAAAAAGATGTGGTATGATTGCAAACAAGATAACTATCCACCAGACCCAAATGACAGATGAAAGCAACTATATATCACCATACAGCCCTCGACAATGAAAAAATCCATACCGAATAGTAAGCTCTAAAAGGTCCCGACACAAAACAATTCAAACCTGAAAATAAGTCATCTTGTTGCTAACAGTTGTGTTTTAATATTTGTAAAATGGTTTTTAAAAAAGTATTGAATCTTGTAATTGCTTTCTTTTGCCTACTGCGCTATGTACATTGCAGTATATCAGTTTGAATTTTCTTGAAAAGAGAAAAGTATTTGATAAAAAGAAAATACATTTAATTTCAGTTCTGTTCCAGAATCAATTCGCAGTTTTTCTGAAATATTTTTTTGCATCTTCGGCTTGTGACATGCATGTAAAGGGGTTACGGCCTACATATAGGTTTAGTATCATAGACTCGAACTTTTAATTTTCTTTAAAAAAAACAGGTTACTATTATGGCGACTTTTACGTGAAATTTTATGGATACAAGGGCAAGTTACCGGCATTACTAAATAATCGAAATTTCCTCTAATAGTGGCTATATATATATAGTATGGAAATGTAAACCAAAATTGATAGAATTTGTCCTTATATCCTTTGTCAAAGATGTAGTATATATTGTGATATGTTAAAAATATGAAAAACACAATGATAGGTCACCTAGTTTTGTTTTTAAGCTACAGGCTGTAAAAATATGAAACATTTTGTATGGACTATACAGAGAAAAATTTTAAGGTATCATTATATGAATATTTGAAGGTAAACTGAATGATAGAATATCAAAATAAAATGTGGGAAGATATAGCTCTTATAAAATGCTTTCAGAATACCAACAGAAAAAAATTGACATGTAGTAGACAGGGCCTCGGCTCCATGTTGAAGACCGTACATACTGTGACCTATAATTGTTAACTTCTTATACATTGTGACTTGGATTGAGAGTTGTCTCATTGGCACTCATACCACATCCCCTTATTTGAATGTACGTTTGTTTCAAATATTTCTGCGTCAGTGATATTTTAAACGGCCATGATAATGAAGAGAGATATAAAAGCAGTTTTAAAATACGTATCAGAAATATAGGTTTATCTTTAATTTCAAACATCAGACTATAATACAATGCATTCAGTACCATTTTAATTTCTAAGCTTTGTTCATGATCGACTTCGTCTATGCAGAGGTTCAGTCCCAGCAACCAGAGTAATTTTCTACATATTTTCAACTTTATCATTTTTCATGCCATTAAAATTAATTGAATATCCTATATTTACCACGCTTTGCCATAAAAAAGATCAAATTGCTGAATGACTCCCCTCCTAAATTATATTCCCAGTGGCATTATGGGTCGTACTGGCCATGATAAATAAGTATAAATTAGGTACTAAGGTTAACATTTTAAATATCTGTATAAGGGGATGACCATTTGATTTATAAGGGGGATGTTTAGAAAATTATTATTCTAGTAGGAGTTAAAAATAAATAAGTATGACCAGGCACGATGGAAAAGAATAATCTGCAGGATGCAGGAAATAATTGTGAACAAAAGTTGAATAAATCAATCAAATAGTCGCCCTTTATCAGTAACTGTATGTATAGATAAGGGTACGTTTTTATCAATTGTCACCTGGTGAGATTGTACAAGGTAAAACGAGGATTCCACATGGCTAAGGTGTTAATTGACTTCTTAATTTATGACCTATTACTATGTATATGAAGTGATCCCCGCTTATTTATCTAATTTATTCTTCCCATTAAGTGAACGACCTTAGCGTGAATTTGTGACAATTAAAGGTACAACTAAAGCCAGGCGGCATATCAGATCGTATATGTTACCGCAACCAACAACACAGCAGTAGTCCGTTTTAAAATCTTTAAATGTGTCATTGTTAATAAAGTTGTCTCGTCAATATTATTTTTATATTTTGGTTCAAATGATGCTCATGTTGCTTTGACATGTAAACGCAAACATTTAATCAGATGATTTTTTTTTCCAAGTCTGCATGGTCACTGCTTATCAACCGTTAGCCCCCAGTTGATGAACTCTCGGATATTATTGCGTGATTTCATAGTTTGGCTAATTAGATTAGACATGCGCAGTTAAATGTGAAACTGGTGTATTATTGCAAGATTTTTATCAAAGTTATATCAAAGGTTTATATCAGGATAATTAGGACAAGTTTGAAAGTCAGTGCCAATCAATTATTTTTAAAAGAGTTGTGCCCTAGAAAAATATTAGTTATATGGAAAATTGCATTGTAAGTGCTCTCACACTTACAATTCTTGCTTGATTTTTATCAAACTTGTATCATACAACATAGGTTTATATCAGCAATGTCTCAGACAATTTAAAAATTAGTGCTGATAAACTATTTAAAAAAAGAATTATCCCCCATGAAAATTGCATTATACAGGCTTTCACCCTTAATTTTTAAAGATATTTATAAATAAATAAAAAAACAATTTTTTTTTAGTTATTGTTCTTGGACAGATAAAATATGTGCAATGCAGGGGACATTGGTACTCTGTTCTTATATAGTATTTCGTTTAATTTTTCCAAGTATTGACCTGTCAGTATATTTCAAAATAAGGTTTTAGCAAATTGAAATCATATTTCTTGAGATATGACGATACTATATTTGACAAATAAAAGTCTGAAATATGATGGACTTTATTGTTGGGCAGACAAATAGACAAATATCGCAATTGGCACATCATAATGATAGTTGGTAACTCAATTAGAACTTGTCTATATATTATTGAAGCCCTCAAACAAAATACATGCATACAGTATACATGCAAAGGAAAAAATACAATATTTATATAAAATCATTCATACATTAAAAAGCAACATAAATTTAGGTTTTCATATTCTAATAAAAAAAGTAATATCAATTGATATTATTTGACTTGCAGAATATTTCCAAGAAAAAAAAATCTTTCCAAAGTATCTACAAAGATGTTTACCCATAATGTATAGAAACAAAAATCAATACAACAAGTTAAAATATATTTTTTGTCACTACCATCATTTTGATTACATCTCAGGTATTGTATCAGCTATCTTTATCTGTTTGAAATCACAATTTGTACTGCTAAAAAAGGCCAAACGCTTTGAAAACATTACAATTTTGTGTTTATGTTTTATGAGCATGGTTGTTGTGCAATAACTTAAAAACAGTTGAACCTATGCTTTTCAAATTTTTTCTCATCACATGGCGTTCGTCATCTGTTATCAGTCGTCCGTTAACTTTTACAAAAATTTTCTCCTCTGAAACTACTGGAACAAATTTATCCAAACTTGGCCACAATCATCATTTGGGTATCTAGTTTTAAAAATGTGTCCGATGACCAAGATCATAGGATACATAAAAACATAGGGGTAAAATGCAAGTTTTGTCTATTATTTTGAAAACCATTATAATTAGAGAAAATCAGACAGCAGCAAAAATGTTCAGAATGTTGAGCTCTACCAATTGTTTATAAAACGTCAAAACTGTCAGATGACTTCTTATAGGAGGAATTATCAGAAAGACAAGATCTACAATTAAGACCAATGGAGGAAATCGTCCGACGACTCCTTATTGGAGTTATTACCCTTTGATGACGATTTTTACTAATTTTTTGCATTTTTGCCTTATATCTTAAAATTGATAATAGGTAGATAGAAACTTAAATGAGCAAAAATTATCAGAAAGACAAGATCTACAATTAAGACCAATGGAAGAAATCGTCCGACGACTCCTTATTGGAGTTATTACCCTTAAATGACGATTTTTACCAACTTTCATCCATTAGAGTATCTATATATATACACATAAAGTCATAAGAACCTAACATTTAGTAAAAGGATGCCAGCCGAAAACAACTTATGAGACACTATGCTGCATTTTGCTTATATGATAAAAATTATAATAGATAAATAGACACTTTAAATCACAAAAATGATCAGCAAGGCAAGATCTACCAACAAGTCAAATTTTGCAGATATAGTTAGTAGACTGTCACTCTTTATAGGAGTGATTGCCCTAAAATGAGGATTTTTTTTACCCTCTTTTGTGTTATGAGCAAAAACTAAAGAAGATAGAGAGAAACTAAACAGACTAAATGATCAGCAATACAAGATCAACAAAACAGAGATTTTTGTCATGAATTCTATTTTCTTCTACAATGTTAGAGAGTGTCCTTTGTTGAATATACAAATTGACCAAGGTGAGCAACACAGGCTCTTTAGAGCCTCTAGTTTAAATCAAATTTTCACAACTCTGAACCTGGCAAGGAGATTTATAATAGTGAAAGTAGTCGGAATATAGAACTTGTTTTATTTTACCCAATAAAGATACATTAGTTATGAAAAGGAGTGCTGTCCTCCTTGTGAAAAGTGTTGATGCCTTAAAGAGTAATACTACCATTGTTTTTGTCTTGCCTGCAGTATGCGAGACATAGGTATAACTATCCGGCAGCGGCGTAAACTATTTGTATAAAGCTTTATATTTCAGAAGGTAGAAGACCTGGATGCTTCATATGTTGTATGCAGATACCTTATGTTACAAAGTTTCTGTCAATCATATGTCCATTGTCCTTGACCTCATTTTCATGGTTCAGCGACTGCTTGAAAAAAATTTTGAGTATTTT